CCTAGGCTGGAGTGCAGTGGTGTGATCTCAGCTTACTGCAACCTCAGCCTCCTGGGTTCAAGTGATTCTCATGCCTCAGCCTCCCAGGTAGCTGGGATTACAGGCGCCTGCCACCACGCCTAGCTAATGTTTGTGTTTTTTTGTAGAGACGGGGTTTTGCCATGTTGGCCAGGCTGGTCTTGAACTCCTGACCTCAAGTGATACGCTTGCCTTGGCCTTCCAAAGTGCTAGGGTTGCAGGCATGAGCCACCGCACTCGGCCAAAAAAGCTTAGTTTTTCATTTAGAATTCAGTAAATCTGTACTCACCTTACTATTTCTTTAAAAGCCATTATGTGGGAAAGCAAAAATAGAGGCACTTTTACCGTTAGTCCTTTAATCATTCTTTTCCATTGATTACAAAGGTTAAGTAAATACACAGCCTATATCTCTGCTTAAGAATAAAAACAGATTTGCAACCTCTGAGTTGAAACTTGAAGAATTACTTCTTCCCCGCTTGGATGCAAGCATTTTCTGGCTTTGGGCCAGCACAAATGTACATTTTTATCAGTAATTTAAACAGATTTTTGTATTAGACCTGAAAATGTTGCCTTTTTAATTGAAAACTTATCAATTATTTAAATTGCTAGCAGCCTGAGGCTGTTAATTTTATGAGTGCCATAATAATGGCAAACGGGTTTTTGATACATGTAACACATGGAATATTGTATTGTGGTAAGGATTTGTCACGACAATAGGTTGTCGTGTACTGTTAAATAATAACCAGCATATTAAGCCAAAGTCTGTTGTCACACATTAGTACCATTTTATGTAAGTTATTTAGAAGTTGTATTCTTTTCTTCATTAGATATATTTTTAAGAGATAATGAGAAGAAAACAAAGCTGTAATAAATTGTCTTTTAGGAAAATGTAAAGTAATTTGGTCTCCAAGGAGATATTTAATGTATTGAAAGAATTCAGCAGCCAAATGTTATTACAGCACCATTGTGATAGCTCTCTGCGTTTTGTTATGAGTTTGTGTTAATCAACAATCTGTTTTTATAGCATAGTTTCTTGTAAGTTATGTTGTTAGAATATTCCGCTTCTGGGATCATGGCTTTTCCTCTGACACTATTGTATCTTTTTAATTCCTCCATAAAGTATTTTTTTAATTAGAATTTGGAATGCTTTACTAGAAAAAAAATACAACCTACATATTCTGAAAACTAAATACCTGATCATTGCTAATTAAATATTCCATTACTGTAGTTTAAATTTTCTTGTTGTTGTTCTCGTTTCCTCCTCTCATTTTCTAGAAAGATTGAAAATAGCATGCTGCTTTTTTCCTTCCATATTTTTGTATTTGTTGCCTGGTAGTTCTATGGAGGCCCAGTTCTAGGAGGGGATTTTTTTACTGTTAATTCTCCTGTTTTGGGCGACCTTTCATTGGGAAATTCAGCTAATACATCTTGCTTTTGTAAATAGATTTATATTTGTTTCTGCTAAATCCGGTGTTTAGGGACTTATTACACCTGGTTCTCTTCATACTGAGAGGCTTGTGTGAGTGGAACAGAGTATTAACAAACATAATTTTCATCATTTTGTCTATTCTCACTATATCATGTTTTCCCACATTGCCAGAAGAGTGTGGGATCCATTTTACTGTAATGCCTCCCATTATGAGAACTTGTATTATATTAAGCACAAGACCTTGTATTTAAGAGGAGTGTAAGTATTCCCTTTGGTGTATTTGACCACAGTGTACCTTGTTAGACGTTGTGTACTATGAGGGAAAAATACTTTTTGACCTGTGGAACACCTTGTAAATTGGGATATGATTGGCTTTATGCTAGTATAAATAACTTAGACATTACCTCTAAAATCATGCAGTTACTTAAGTTGAGTTGGAAGGGAACGACAGAGGTTTTGTTCAACTCTTTCATTTTACAAATAAGGACATTGAGGGCCACGGAGAATAGAAGATTCAGATCAGTTGGAAGTCACATGGCTAATTAAAGGGAAGGCCTGGATACAGACTCTTAGTCTCTTCGCTCCTGGTTGTTTTAAATAAGGTCTTTGTTTTGGTATCTATCGTCCTGCTCAGCTTTGCAAATGCTACTTTTTTCTGAGTGTAAAAAATAATGCTTATTACTAAAATGTCACTGTACTTGAGTGTGAAGAGAAATGTAAAAAATA